TGCCTCCTCCAAGGGCAGAGGGGAAGGCAGCCCTTCTCCTCCCAGAGATAAGGGCGATTTGCATTTTAAATGACTTGGAGCACGCCCCTAACACCCGGTATCGGACTGGAAAGTTTGTCCTCGGGTCCCCTAACAAAAAGAAAAATATTAAAATAGACATTTCCCTTCGTTCCAATCCAGCAGAACGGCGCGGGGATGTATCCTGGCCGGTTTGTTTTGAATAACACCGAGGTTTCTGGTCTCATCTGGCATGTCTGTTTTTCCATCTATTATTATCCTATCCATCTACCAGCGCATCTCCAGCCTCTTCCTGTGTAATCTCTCCCTCGGTGTCTTGATGCGCGCTCCGCTCTCCAGCCGCGACCGTGTCCCGCCCTGCCTCTGCCCGCCTGTCAGGTCTCTGGGTCTGTAGGTTGGGCTTGCTTTGGGTTTTCCGACGTTCCGTGTATCCCTGCTCACAGCTTCCCAAGTCGCTTACGACCAGGTGACTGAAGGGGAGTTAAAATGAGGAAGTGAAGCTCGCGGGGGGGATTTCTCTTCGCTGGGAGGCGAGGCTTGGGTGTCTCCTGTCATCGAGGTGCTGCTGAGTGACCCCCAGGATGAGGGTCTCTCTGGAAGGACATTTCTTGTTTTAATTTTCCCAGTGTAAGTCTTCCATTCTTCCCATTATTTATCAAACTGCGTGCTAGAGAATAGGTTTCTTCATCACCCTCTTTTTTGGAGGGAAATAGAGGGCATCGGCATCCTTATGCCCACTCCCAAGATCGATATAAACACTTGTTTGCTGGCAAGAACCGTTTCCGGTGTGCAAGAACAGTTCCAAGCGTGCAATGGCTTTTATTCCTTCAGGGTGCCTCTTCGGAGGCTCACGCAGGTATGGAGGTTGGCTGCGTTCGTTGCCGGGGGGGGAAGCGGGCCCGTGGCGTTGCTTGGGTACAGTTGGAACATGTTAGAAAAGTCTCGGAGAGGGCACCACACGTGCATTTGGAACATGCAACTGTTTAGGTCTTGTAAGAGTCCTTCAGGATCTAACAGTCCGTAAGGAGTGTCGCAGTGTGTAGTGGATGTTCTTCAACCCTCTTTATATCCTAAACCTAGCAGCAGCGTGGTGTTTGGGTAGGCTTTTATTTCTTAAATAGAAACAAACCGCTGTAGGGGATCATCTGGGTCATCTAGTCTCGTTCCGTGCAATCACACACTGGGTTTGGTATCTCTTTGTACTGCTGGAATATCCGCAAAGCCCACGTTACCTTTTGAAATGATTGTACAGTTAAATAAAGAACCCTGTGTTTGGTTTTTTTTTTTTAAACTTGTATTACAGCTATGCATTAGGGCGGATTTGTTAAAAATATCAGTACCGTTTCTGTGGCAATGGTTAGAAATCTTATCTTTCCAGTAAAAAATTAACGATGTCAACCAAAACATCTGATCGGAAATGAAGACTCTAATAAGCTAGTTAAGAACGTTTACAAATAGTGTTTTCAACCCTGCCTTACTTATGTTCTGCATTGTGCCTTGTTTTCTTCCTTGTTTTCCTCCTTTCTGGAGCAGTGGGCACAGAAGCTTGCTCTGGCTCCAGCTGAGTGCTTGTTTTTGGCCCGAAGCCCGCTGCTAAAGATGGACCCAAGGCAGGCTCCTCTGTCATTGCTTTCCTGTAGTTTCTATTTTCTTATGTGTATGCCTTGGCTCATCTTGCAGTCAGCTCTTTCGGTTTAACTCTACCGTTGAGTTCGTTTTCCTGGCTGATGTGGAATAATAGACATTAGAGATGGAGAGAACCTATTGCGGGTCGTGGCTGGTCCGTTCCCCAGGGAACATCACAGGATTGCTTCCAGCAGGATATTTTCAGATGCTTTGTCCAACCTAGTTTCAAATGTCTCAAGTGACTGGGATTCCATTCCAACCGCCAGCTTGCATTTGAAGGTGGAATAAGGAAGATATAATTTGTTCTTTACTAGGAGACTCCTATGCCCTCATCTGAGATGCGTAGACTTACTTCTTACCGCTATCTTTAGCAGCCTCTGTTGCTTTAGACCCACCTGAGTGGTGGCTAAGAGCCCTTTCAGGGTCAGAAACGCTTCCTTTGGGACTCAGAAAGAACATCCTTGGGTGGTTCGGGGGGGAAGATCGCCAAAGAAGGTGCACCGACTTCAAGCAGCATTGCCCCATCAGAGAAGGGAGCTAATTGTAAAGAAGTGGGAGCTGTGGCTTGCGGGGAGAGGCGCCGAGAGCATCCATAGTGGTGTAGAAAGCAAAAGGGACGCGTAGCTGGATAAACCCAGCAGTTTTGTTGGCTTACCAGCTGGAGACTTGTATTAACACAGAACTCGTTCCTGGGGTTACTCCTAAAAAGCCTGAATTTAGGGATCTTGGAAGCATGGTGCAAAAGGCTGCTGCTGGATGTGAGTTACAGACTCGAGGGTGTGCAGGGTAAATGGGAGTGTCGCTTGGTGTTTGTCTGAATCTGCACTGATTTCCTTCGTGATGCTGAGATTTTATCTTAGTCCTAATTACAGTTAAGGTGTTTCATGTCATGATTTTATATTTAGATCACTAGTGACACTTGAAAAGTTAAGGAGTGAGAAATTGCTCCGTTTGTGTTTGCTAGACCAGAATTAGACACAGTTTGAGACACTGGATTCCCACTTAGGCCACATTTTCATAGGAATTTTTCATACCGGGCATGAGCTTACTTGAAACCTGAATAAATGTGTAACGCTGGAGCTCTTGCACAAGGCTGTCTGCTGTTGCTGGGGGTGGAAACTAGAAAGGGGAAGAAAATGCTGCATAGATGTAATTTTGGTTTTGTCACCTACCTCTGACTGATAGCAGCTCTGGCAAACTTTTTTATACACCTGAGAAATTAAGCAGTCGATTTAAAGATGGTCTAACGAACCCTCTTTGCTTTTCTTTCAGCTTGCTATGGAATTGTCCAGGTTCCTACCGGACCCTGGTTCTGTCGGAAATGTGAATCTCAAGAGAGAGCCGCCCGGGTGGTGAGTAGGAAGCACACTTGCACTTAGGCAAAATAGGTTCGTTCACTGCCCTTCGTGTCTCTGCTGGAAGCAGCCTGGTCCTCTGGCCGAAGTGAACAAGCCTGGCATTCCACCACTACTGTGACTGTAATCCCAGCTCTCCCAGTAACCCACTGTATCTTGTTTATGCAACAGGAATAATTATATCAAACAATTTTATGCAGTGCTGTTAGTGATGAAGATGCTGCCAGAGGTGCTTTTAAGCAAGTCATCAGTGGCACAGTTCTAGAGTGTAGAGACCTCAATCTTCTAAAAAAAATAATGGCATTCTTCTAAAGGGTGGGTTTCCTGCTGTTTTTTCTATCCAACTCCTTGAGAAATTTTGGAGTGGAGGGAAGTTGGCATCACCTGAAATGCTGCTATACTGTCAGAGTTATCATACTGCCTGACAGGGTGGATTGGCATTCATATCTCGCAGCGAAAGTCTCCTGCATGAAGTCTTCTGAGTTTGTAAAACAGCAGAGAAAATGACAGGAAGCTGGATCGGGGTTTAGTTTCTGTCTAAGCAGCAATTTAGCAGTATAGAACACTTTACAAATGTTCTTAATTAATTCTGGCATTTCCCGGTGAGGCAGGGAAGTGGAAACAATCAGGCCAGGACTGCTGCTTAGGTCCGTCTATGTGGCCGAGTTATTTGTGCAGTAAACTAGGCTGCGAGTTTATAGCACACCAGCTGCTCTGCAGTACCTTCCCATGCGAGCCCTTATCAGATACGGCTGCACCAACCCGCTGCTGGGGCGCCGGCGTGTAGATCTTTAACGTGTTACTTACGCCATGGGTGCCGCTTTTGCCATGCGGTGAATCCAAGAGAGCTTTACACTCTTAAGGATGGATTTAAATTAAACTTTGCCTTTCCTTAAGTACGGAAGGTCCTCACTCAGCACAAACAGCATTTATTAATGCCTGTGCTTGCCTTCTGAACGGGTTTAGCTAAGTCTTTAGCGCACACCTAGCAGTGCTGATGTGGGTGACCTCTGAATCTGTGGATCTGTGCAGGCCGGAGCAAGTAGCGTGCTCCAGCTCAGCTGGGCTCTCCGCTTGCTGCGGGACAGAAGTTTAATCTGTTTCACAGATGGGCAAAGAACTTGGCGAAGATGAGTGAATGGGGGAATTAGGTATCTGTACCATGCTTTCCACATTGCACTAACTCATTCCTCATTGGAAGTGGGAGTGTAAACAAGACCAGACTTTCAGACCTGAGCTCTTTTCCCACTGTAAGATGCTGCTTTTATGTGCACTGCAGTAAAGAAGATCAAATGTGTCTTTGAGAGGTTTTACATCCTGCAGATAGTTTCACAGCAAAGAAAGGAATTTGGATTTCATGGGCCTCTTTCCCCCAGCTCTCCCAGCCGTGCAGGCAGGGAGCAGCTCTTCGGCGTTAAGCTACAATTCAGCGTAAGCTGTAGTAATACACGTACGCGCAACTCCTCCTCACCTGTGCTCGTTGTAAGGACTGCAACTTTGCACTTGCACATTATACGCTTCAAACTGCCTCCAAGGTATCAAGAAAACAATATCCCCGCGGGCGGCTCCTTGTTTAACTCGCCCTCGGTGAAATCTGTTAGACAATGCGTGGTGGGCTTCAGTCATGCCATTCAGTCCCGTGGCATTCAGCCCTGCTACTATAATAACTGAACAGTGATAATCTTCCTTCCTAAGCAGAGCTGGGGATGATTTCCTATCTAAATCCCTCACCTTTTCAGTTAAACACCAGCAGTCATAGCAACAGACACGCAGATGGGTAAATACTTAAAAAGAATCTGGTTCTTTGATGTAGAGAACAGCATAATCAGAGTAAGGGAAATGAGTCAGGTCTTATAAGATCTGTGCGTGGCTCTGTTGCTTAAACACTTTGAAATTTGTGCTCCGTGGTCCAGCGAGGCTGGAGCGTGCGGCTGTTCCGCTGCCCGGGACTTTCCCTGCACCTCTCTCTGCCTGCCTTTCTCCAGCTGTGAAAGGGATGTTGCCAGCCTGCAGACACTGCCTGGAGGACCTTGAGGGAGCGATGCTGCTGTTAGAGCACTAAATACACTGACAACAGCAGTAGGGTGAATTGATATTTGTATTTCTTTCATAATGACTGTGTGGCAAACTCCTTTGAAAACCAACGTTTTTCTTCCCACAACTGTCTTCGTAGAAGAATCTTAAAACAGTTTACACAAGCTTTGTCCATAGCAAACTTATTTCTTGGCTAAATATTGGTACTTTTGCTTTGAAAATGAAGTATGGAGGGATGGAGAATATTGCATTCCTTAGTGAGTTTTTTTGAAATAGGTCTCCTGATTTCAGTCTCTCTCCTTTGGAGAGATGGACTCCATCCTCTCTTCAGCTACAGGAGCCCTAACTGCAGTTGGCAGGTGTAGTAGTCTCTCGGCAGGTTTAGTAGTCACTCGGTGGTAGGTCCTGATGTTAGAAGCCCCAGGGGGTCAGGAGCTCTAACCTTACCCATCACAACCTAGTTTAAATCAACCAAGCCCTTCTCTTTCCCCAGAGTTGAAATAAAAACCCCGGAGACTGCCTTGGCCTATGCAGGTTGAATAAAAGGAAGAGGTACCACTAATCCCAGCTCATAACCCCTCCTCAGATGCTCAGGTCCCTGAAGGATGCTGTGGATGCTATTGTGCTTACAGTAAGCAACTGAAAGCCCATCCACTTTGTAATCAAATTGTCTAGGAAGCCCGGTGAGCTGCAATGGCCAGAGGGCACTCATGTGAGGGATCATGTGAAGGCTTTAGCTGTCATTTAGAGGCAGGGCTATTAAAAGTCTTGTGTGGGGCCGATGGAGCTGTTAACCCCTCTTGTTACCATCAGAGCTTTGCTAATCGCGTGGTGGGAGAGCCGCTTTGATCTGAGGGGTGGAGGGCAGAGCGGAGGGGCCTTTTCAAGTGCAAATTTCTTATTACAGTGTCTCAGTTAACCCAGTTTCTTTTTCTGTCTTGGCTCTGCTGGGCTTTCCATAGTAATTGTGAGAGCAGCTCTTCAGCCCTCTGGCAGCCCAGACCTAACCAGGAGCAGTGAGAAACACCTCTGTGGTCATCCATCCATATTTCAAACTCAGTTGCAGGGAAAGCGGGCCCGGCTGCCAACGACGGCGCCTGGCTTTGTCCCCTCATCTCTTATTTATAGGTTATCGCAGGGATTTCGTGCTTGCCAAAGGTGCCTGTTTGACAGGCCGGCATGCTTGACTCCCACAAAAACGCTGGAGGATCGGGCTGACCCTCCCTGCTGCCCATAGCACTGCAATCCTATTTATTGTGCCTGTTTGTCCAGGAGGAAAAACTTTGGCTGTTTCAGGAATCTTGAGCTGGCTTGAGGAAAGCCACCTTTGTGTAGGGTCCTCGGGGACTACTCAGTGACAGAGGCTCTTGGTCCCGGCCAGTTATTTCTCAATATGTTGGTGTTTTTCGGGGCACGGAGCACCTGCCAGAGCCGAGCGATCGCAGTGAAGCGTGGGCAGGCGAGCGCCATGTCCTGCACAGCCCGCTGTCTCGCTTTGACATCAGGCACCTCATTTCAAAACTTTCTGACAAAGCATGTTCTTCACAGAAAAACAGGGTTGTTTTTGTTTTGCTTTTATAACAAAGCAGACATTTCTGCTAGGGAAAGTTTGTGCCTCGCAGCTTTTCACGCCTTTTTTGAAGTCAAAGAAAACAAAAAGCACTTGGAAGTTTTCCCTGAGTGATGCTGTGAGAGGACAGTGACTAGTTTTGGGCAGCCCAGCCCAGGAGGAGCCCTCAGGGCTGGGAGCGTGTTCCCCCATGCGTGGCAACGTGCCCTGAAACTGCCCCAGCTCCTCCCAACGCTTCAAACGGGCGATATGGCCGGGGCAGAGCCCTCATGTGGCGATGAGCCAGTGTGGAGGCTGATGTGGGCCAGGTAGGGCTGAAATTAGTGAGGGAGGAAAAACAAGTGCTGGGCCTTGCCGTCTGCTGTGAGGTGAGGAATGGCGCCAGGGGCTGTGGCGCTGGGTTTCCCCGGCTCTCACCATTATGCCTGGATGGAGTCTCCCCGTCCCCTTACCGGGTGTGTGTGGCGGGGAGGGGTGACGCCTGTTCCCGCCCTGGCCACGAGGGGGGCCCTTCAGCAGGTTTAGAGCCTCTGCTGGCCGTGAAGGCCTCTCTGCCCTTGGGGCCTGGCATGAGGGGCCTCATCTCCCATCCCCCTGTGGCTGCTGGCCCCAGTGGAGGAGACAGCATGTCTCCCCCTCACAGCCTTCACCAAAAGCAGACATTAGTGACTGGGCATGAAGGGGGCACAGAGCCATTCCCATTCCTCACAGGCCATCATGGAGCTGTGCCTGCAGCCTGACACCCATTATGGCGGTGCTGAGGGAGCTTCTTCCACCCGCGTGGGTAGCAGGGACTCTCCAGTGCCAACTCTCCCTTCATGCCTGCCCCGTCCCACCTCAGCCCTCCCAGAGGCCAAGTTTTGGAGGGAAGAAGGGTGCCCACCCATCAGTCCCAGGCAATGTGACTGGGCTTGCCGTGTCCCCCCGTGCCCTGCCAGCAAAAATGTCACGACAGCCTCACCCGTCTCTCACAAGACTGGAAAAAATATTGCAAGAGAAAGAAGGAAGGAAAGAGGCAAAGATAGATAATGGCTGCTTTTTATTTGCCTTCTGCTCTCTGAGTCATGGTTTTCAGTTTTAGTCCCCAGCCACAAAGACAAGAACTTTTTTTTTTTCTTAAAAAAGCCCCATGAAAGTCAAGGTTCGCTTGTAGCCCCGTGGCTCTTGGGCTGAGGCTTTAAATACATCCTTGTCAGACAGGCCGATATCGAGCTGTGTCAGAGTATCTTTTTTGCACCCAAACCACTCTCAGCCCTTCTTCCACTTCCTCTCTTTGAAAGCAGCCCCATCTTTCATAACCACGTTGTAAATGAATCATCTCTTTTTCTGGCCCTGCACCCCTGGGAGTTAGATTAAACTTGTTGTTTCTGCTTAATTTCAAGAGATGTGAACTGTGTCCCCACAAAGATGGAGCCCTGAAACGGACCGACAACGGAGGTGAGTACCTCTGCGCAGAGCCGGGTATGTCATGCAGAGCCTCTGGGGTCTCAGCAGCTGTCCCGGGTGCAAAATCATTAATTTCTAAGCCTATGTGACCAGAAAGGGAAGGCTGGAGGTTCCAGAGGAATGAAAACACTGCCTTTTTCTTAGAAAAGTTCACTTTCTGAAGCCTCCAAGTTGAGAAGACCTTTCCCTGGGGGAGGGAACCTGCCTGAGTTCTGGCTGGCATAGAAGCACAGCCCCTGAGATGTGCAGTTTCTTGAACTGAACCTCACAGGAATCAGTGCCAAATCTGGCATTGTTTACAGAAATGTGGAAGTTGTCGAGTTGTTTGCTGCCTGCTTGCACAGCAGCAGCGTGATCCTCGAATTAACAGAGCCTCAGCCTTGAGTTCCCATTCGAAAGCAGGGACCAGGATGCAGTAAAGATGTTTTTCTCTGCAGGACTTATCTGCTCATCATTGATGCTTCTCAGCCTCTGGTGCTGTGAAGTACTGTGGAGTCTGATTTCTGTTGCCAGAGCTTGCAGCTATTGATGCTACCGGCTGTATAGATCAAACTGGATTTATCTCAAAATCTTATTTTTCAGAAAGGCTTCTATACCTACCTGCCACTTACCTTAATACACAAAGAGTTAAATTAGGCAAGGAGGTCTTTATTCTGATAGATCCCATATTTAGAGAAGAAGCGCTCGGTCCAGAATATTTTGTAGAAGCATTTGCTAGAGCTGGTCGTGAGTGCCAAGAGCCTTAGTGCAAAAGCACAAGTATCATGTTGGGGGATTGTTTTATAATAACATAGCATCTTCTTCCAAGCATGTTATTACATGGTTTGGTCAGGTCTGTGTAGACAAGCACAAGAAGTGTTAGAACTGTGACACTGTACAGAATTATATAGCCCAAGTACTTAGGGTGCTGTATTGATTTTGTAATCATGGAGTTTGGTTCTGCCTGCCCAGGTGAACACATGCTAATTCTAGCTAAATCCTTCCAGCGCAGCAGCCATACCCGTACGGATCAGTCCCCAAAGGCTCCTGACCTTCAAAATTTCTCAGTTCTGTCCTGACCCAGTGGAATTTCAACTTACACATCTGATTTGGGAAGTGTTCTGGTGGATTTAGATTTTAATCTAACTTGGCTTGCTGAAAAAGAGCCTTCTTTAGCCGTTGATAACAGCCAATAAAGGGAGCTTTGTTTCCAGTGACATGGGACTGCACGTCAAACCTGTCCCATCAGCATCATGTACTGCCTGGATGCTTTTCCTGGGTTTGCTTAGGTCTTCAGCTCTGGATCTCAAGTCCAGAGTGGGGTGCTTTTAAGAAAGAAGAGCGTTGTACATCTTTTCCCAAAGACATCTCTGCTTTCTTATTCAATCTTGACGTGGTATGCATCTATCTTTCACCCACAAATAATTTGATTCCTAACCAAGTTACAACAAGCAGTATTTCAAATCTAGCATCTAGCTTAAATTGGCTCCCTTCCTGCACTCTCTTCCTTCTCTCCCTCCTGTGCTTGTTTGCAGCCCTGTCTGACTTTAAGTCGCCCCATGTGAATCCCCGCTCTGTCTTGTTTGCTTCCCCAGGGTGGGCCCATGTCGTATGTGCTTTGTACATCCCAGAGGTGCAGTTTGCCAACGTGCTCACCATGGAGCCAATTGTCCTGCAGTACGTACCCCACGACCGCTTCAACAAGGTAAGGCCGTCTTTATCCTGCTGCCCCAACCTGCCTTGCCTTGGCTTTTTGGGGTCACCCTATTCTGCCACATCTCCTCTCCAATTTACTTTAATTTCCAGATGCTCAGATTCCTTTAAAAATAACTAAGAAAATAAATCCCCATTCCTGCAAATAACTTTTTGGTCCTTAATTTCTCTCTTTCCCAACTCCCTGTAACCTGAGCCATCTCCGCCTTGGAGTTGCATGTTGGTTACTCCACATTTTGATTGGACACAGTTGATATTTAGAGTGAAAAAGGTGCATGTGTTTTGTGTGTGCCACTGAGAAATAACGCAGAGATTTGTCATAGGAGGGAGATGGCTGGGCACGGAGTTAGGAGTTGTTGAAGGCTTTGTCTCCTGATGAACAGTGAGAGTGAAGCAGACACTTTGCCTCTTTGAGTGAGCACTTCTCTTTTTTTTTTTTTTTTTTTGCAGACCTGCTACATCTGTGAAGAGCAGGGCAGGGAGAGCAAAGCAGCCTCTGGAGCATGCATGGCCTGTAACCGCCATGGCTGCCGGCAAGCTTTCCATGTCACCTGGTGAGTTCCCCACAGCGTCACCCGGAGAACAGCCCCAGCTATTGGATTTGATGCTGCGGCTTTGAGGCTGCACTGAACGGGTGGTGTGTGGAGTTGGGCTGGTCACCCTGGGTTTGTTTTGTGCAAGGGGTGTCTCATCCTCACTCGGTTTGCGAGGGGAACTTCCCCAGGAGGGCTGAGGTTTCACCAGTGAGCCTTCCCTGCTGAGAACCAAGGCTGGGGATTTCCCTAAGACTGTGTGGAATCCAAGAAGAGAAGAGATGAGTCACAACCCAGGAATGTTCCTTCTCCAGCACAGAACATGAGAGTATCATCTAGATGATGTGATTTTAAGGGCTGATATCCTCATGTACCCTCGCAGCCTGAAAACAACATTCCCTATCAGCAGAACGGGGAGATTCCCAGCTTTGCATGGATTCCTTGCTCATGATATGTCTTTTGTTGGAATTGTCTGCCTGGCCTCCCTTAAGAAAAACAAAATTGCAGGACAGTCTGGTGGGAAAGTACTGACAATTTTTAAGATCTTAATATGAACTACAAATGCTCTGAACTCCCCTCCTTGCATAGCATTTGCCAAGCAGGACAGGAAACTTCAAGATGCTGTCCACATACCCTGAACTGTTATTTGCCCATTGATGGGATATGTGGTCTGGTGGTACAATTTGCTTTATCCTCCTTCTAATTGCATGTATTTCAGTGCCCAGATGGCTGGCCTTTTATGTGAAGAGGAAGTCCTAGAAGTTGACAATGTCAAATATTGTGGCTACTGCAAGTACCACTTCAATAAAATGGTGAGTTTCTTCATCCCTGCAGTGGGGTTTGGCTTTTTTCTGGTCTCTTATAAGGCATCGTGTTCATCCTGGGTTGTCTCTATGCTCAGAGCAGTAAGGAATGGCAATGACACATAAACTGGGTCTGCAGCCTGCTCCCCTTGTCAGTCATATAGGAATAAAGTTTAATTAATGTTTTGCATTTCTGTAGCATCTTTAAACCCGTTTTCAAAACTAGGGGTTGAATTCTTCCCGTCTGTTTTGGCTTCCCTGACCCACTCTGTATGGCTGAAAGTCCCAAGGAAGGAGAGCAGCCGTGATGTTTGATACTCCAGGGAGTTGGGGGTGTAGCTCAGGCACCCTGGGCAGGAGGGTGTAACACAGAACAGCCAGAACTTCTGCCTGAGGACAGAGACAGCCCAGAAGAGACATGGAGTCGTTCATTCTTTGAGGGATATTTGGGGCAAAAGGCCTTCTCCTATTAATTACAGTACTGAGAGGAAAGAGAGGAACCCTTTTCCTGTTCTGCATATTTAGTAGACACCTGCTCTCCCCCCTCCAGCAAAAGGGAAACTTGATCCTCTCACTACAGCTTTATGTCTCAGTGCCTCCTTTTGTTGCTGGCCTTTCCCATTTCCCTTCCTGCTTATCAGTGCTGTCATATACAGTGACTGATGCCTCTTCAGCTTCTCCTCAGACTGGAGGACACCTTCCCTGCCCTTCAGGCACCCTCAGTATCTGACACAAGTGTAGCTCCCTATCAAGTTTACTGATGCTGAGATAGGTAGCAGGACTTCTGCTGGTGCCTGGAGCCTGAGAACAGGGTGTCCTTCCGCACACACCCCCACGCCCCACTGAAAGCTGGACACTGCTGTCCAGGAGGACTGGCTTGTCTCAGGAACGTCACTGCTACCATTTGTCTTCTTGTTTACTGAATGATCTCTCAGCAGCTGTGCCTTTCCTCATGTGTCAGTGTGCGTGGGCCACCAAGAGCCAAAGATCTGGGGGGATAGATCTATGTGCTGCTTGTGAAACCATGAATAGGGTCTCCACTGTGGTCCCCGTGTTAGGAACCAGACTGGGCATCTGGTACTAATAGCATTTGGTCCTGCTGGTGGCAGACAAGCCATTTACTGTAAAATTGCTCACTGTAGCAGTGAAAGCTGGACTCTATAACACTGTTTCCCCTCTTTCTCTCTCTTTTTGCTCCTGTTCTCCACTTCCTCTCCCCTTCCCCGCTTACCTCAGAAGACCTCACGTCACTCTGGAGGTAGCTCCTTCATTGCTGGAAGAAGGAGTCGATCCACGTCCCCTGCTCAAGAGAAGCACGTGTCCCACCACGAAAGGCCAAAGAAGGTAAGATCGGCACAGAGTTTATCAATCCAGAGAGGCAGAGTCATGTGGGATGGAGGTGAGAAGGGGAAGAGTGTGTAAAGAGCATCGATGGCTCCTCAGGTGAGCCCTGACTCTGTGAAGAGTTTCAGCGTCAGAGATGGGAATAGTGGCTGGTTTTTTAAACAGGCCCCTAGAAATGTGTATGCAAATAGAGCAGCACAGCCACGGGGAATACAAGGCCAAATTTGCATGCTCAGATGATGCCAGAGGGCTCCTGGCAGAGCATGCCAATGAAATACGCAACCGTCCGCTTTCTGTCTTGCGGCAGGTCCATGCTGAGGATGGCATCGTGCTGTGGTTTACAGCTGCTGAATTATCTGTGTGGAAGTAGTTTGGGTGGTGGTTTTGAATGCAGCAGCTCAAGACTATAAACTGGAGGTCGTTGTCCTCTGATCCCAGAGTCCAAGTTTTAAAGGACGAAAAGATACTGATTAGTAATCTGCAGTGTGGCCAGCAGGTTAATTGTGGGCAAGAACAATAATTAATATAAACTAGGTAGTACTTTATCAGTCAGATTAACCAGCCCCAGGGATTCCACCTGCTTCAAGTCTACTTATGAAAGCAGTTTATCTTCGTTAAACAATTAGTTAGAGGAGCATCGCATGCCAGATCTGACTGGTATGATAGTTATTTATCTAACTCTGATGGTGAAGACGTACTCATCAAAACCGCTGCAGTGTTACAGGACATGTTAACAGCGCACCGAGGTTCATAATTAACCAACTGGCTCACGTGACGAATGCTCATATTTCAGGGAAAAGCAGCCGTGAATGTGTAAGGCGGAATCCCAGGAGACTCCTGCATTCTGACAGGGGTGCAGGTTCCCATGGGGAAGGGTCTGTACCAAAAGAAATTAGGAGGCCAGAGGCTCGTGAGGTGTTTGTTATTTATAACAATAAATAGCCCTAAAAGGCAGGACACGCTTTTTTTTTTTTGAGGATTCAGGTTCTAAGGCAAGTGGCAGCAGAATAAGAAATCTTCCCTTCCCTGTGGTGGATACAGCTTTTGCAGGATCACGAATCCCAAAGCGGCAGGGTAGGATCTGAAGCAGGAATAACTTACACTGGGATACTTTCAGTATTGTGAGAGAGTTTTTAATACTTTATGGGCCATACCCTGGTTTTTGTTAGCAGAAATCCAGAATCCTCTACCAAGCGTTATAGTCAAAAGCCAAATGTACTCCGTTGTATAAACACAGTTGGTGATACGCATCGCAGCACGAATCCTTTTAAGTCGTAGGTGTCTGGCTGTTTACTGCTTCTTTTTTTATTTGTTTGCATTGCAGTAGGCATCCTCATAACACGTCAACAAATTCTGAATGGTAATGATAGTGACACACATCCAGGAACAGCCCAGTGACACTCCAGAGGGTTATGCGGCCTAAGTCTGATGGATCTCAGCCCATTTTCCATGGGACAAGGGCATCCAGGCTTTCAAAAGCAGTATGGCCATCACTTAATACTGACTGACACCCTCCTGGCGAGCCCGGCTAAGAGGCCATAAATCGTGTGGGCAGGAAAGCCATCTCCATCTTTATTTACAGAGGTTATCCCGCAATATCCAGTTTGAAACGTTGCCCACTATGCCCATTACGTGTTTGGGAAGCTTGCCCAAACTGTACCTGATACGTGGGCAAACAAGGCCAACCTCCCTTACGAAGTGGTGCCTACCCTTCAGTAAATTTCCTACTGCCGACAAGGCTAAAGCCTACGGGGAGTATTTACTCCTCTTGTGTGTTCAGCTGCTGCGAGGAGAGGAGGAGGCGGGAGGGAGAAAGAGCATCTGTGCCACGGCCGGGGAGCGAGTGCTTGGCACAAGGTGAAGGGCTGTACTGGAACGTGCTATTTTTAGCCAACAAGCAAGCAGAGAAGGGCGGAGGGTAGCTGGGGAGGGCAGGATCAGGGTGATTGATGGCAGCTTTGGAGAGCTTTGCTGTAATTATAACTGACAGACCGGGCAAGTCCAAGGCTGGGGACCGTATGAGGGTTGCTATATTTGCACAGCTTCTGGTGACGGGGGGGTGGGAGTGCAGTCACGTGCTGGCAGGTAGGAACGAGGAGGTGCTGCTTCCCGGCTTCGGTTAGAAAGCAGGTCAGTGCCAGGGGGAGAGCAAAAACAGGAGGAATATGGATTTATTTATAGGCTTCTCAGTGGTGTTTGCCACTATTGTTAGCCTCTGGGTTCTTCCCAAACGTGCAGAGATTCCCATGTCGCTGCTGCCTCACCACTCTTCCCCTCCTCATCAGGTTTGCGAGCACAGATCCGATGGAGGCCCCTTCCAGGGCCGGGATTGCTTGGCAGGGCCGCAGCGCTCAGAGAGGGGGAGTCAGCACGGAAAGGGGGCCTCTGTGTGCAGAGGAGCTGAGCTGGGCAGGGTAAGGAAGGCACCCTCGGCTTCCAGGGGTGTTGGGTAGCTTACAGGTCTGGGAGGGGTGATGAACTGCTGGGTGTGAGGCGATGTGGGAACACAGACCTTTCGAAGCGATACCTCAAGAGGGGGTTGAATCATTCGTTCCCAAATGCTTCTGGAGTACGTGACTAGCAGTGCATGATCTAATTGCACATGTTTCAGGGGAACTGGGCGTGCTGCTGCGCTGACCTGAAGTAGAACAGCTTTTTCTTGAGTCTGTCCAGCTGTGCAGCCGGCTGGTCCCGTCCTCCCGGAGCTGGAGGCGTTGCAGGGAGGCTGATCACTCAGCGGCAGACCAGAGCCAGGGGAGTTAGTCCCTGAGCTGCAGGTGCTCATGGATCTCTGCTCCAGAGGAGCTCAGTGCCTGACAGCATCCTTGCAGGGTTGTGGCCATTTATAGAACCATAGGATGGTTTGGGTTGGAGGGATCTTAAAGATTATCTTGTTCCAATCCCCCTGCCATGGTCAGGGACACCCTCTACTAGACCAGGCTGCTTAGGCTTTACATTGGAAAACTCTGGCTGAGTTAATAACCAAGTGAGGGGCACAGGATTTAACCCAGTGGCTTCACTAGGACAGCAAAGACTAGGGATTTGGACTCCTAAGGCCCGCTGTAAAACAGCTCAGCATTTGTGAAGAGTCTTGTTCTCTGCAGAACAAGGGACAATTGTGATGTGGGACATCGTCGGCTTGCCCCGCCTCTTGCCGGTGCAAATGATGCTGGCCCGAGCGTTTCTTTCTGGGCTGCCCTGGAAAAGGGGAAAGCTCCAGGCTTTGGGTTTTCCTCAGAACACACCAGGCCTTAGCAAAACCAGCCCCGTTTATTTCTTTGGGGGTTGGTATTGCGTTGTGTGTGCTTTACCCCATGGGAGCCTTTGCAGGGTTGGTTTGTTTAAAAAAAGAAAGAAGAAAGAAAGAAAACAATAGCTAAATACCAAGAAAACGCTGGATGACGCACAGGGGTTGAATGAAGTACAGATGTTCTGTCACCTATATTGTCTGCTTGAAACACACAGAAAACAACTACCCCGCTCCATGGAATGAAATGTGTCACACCGGGAGCAGACGGGAGCACGTGTGTGACGACACTTTTAGGCATATATCCCATGGAGGGAGACACTTGTCCAGTGTCAGTGAACACCTGGAACCCATAAGCAAAATGGGGAGACTTTTAACGTGGATATGGGATAGTGTTAGGAGGGGAACGGTCCCTGCCCCGTGACGGTGGAAAGGGAGGCAGGCACTTGGAGCAAATAAGCCCAACTGCAGTTATTCCTCAGGTCTGGGTACGGAGCCAGTTGTCCCCAGCCACAACACACCTTTATCTCGTGAACCGCTTCCCTAGCCACGGAGGGGGCACTTTTTAGGGGCACAGGGGCTCTCTCTGTCCTGCTCCCCTTACCCTTTAGCACCAGGCAGAGCAGGGCACAAGCCCCTGTCCCGCGCTGTCGGAGCAGATGCACGGCAGAGCCTGCTTTCCCCCCGCCTGTCTGTCTAGACCTGGTGCCAGTGGAGGAAACGAGCCAAGGGTCTGGCCTGGCAGATTTAGCACACTGGAGAAGTTGTACTGGGCTGAAATCTAAACCCAGTGGGTCTGTGAGGGGCTTTGTGTTCGAGTTAGTGACGGGAATCTGCCTCTTGGAGTTTTGTGTCCACACAGGCACCAAAGGGCAAAGTGGGATGTTTATGTGCAAGACCAGCACAGGTTTTTTGGGAGGGACTACTGCACCTAAATCTGCTCTAATCTAGCCATAGAAGCCTTGTTTTATAGCATCCTTGACCGGCTCTTTGTGATCTCTTGTGATGTGGGTGTTTAACCACCCCCAGCAAATCCTTCCATTAGCGGGGGGTGCAGCAATAATTTGAGAGCACACAAAGCCCAGCGGGGGCTGGCTGCCTGCCCTTGAGTAAAAACCCATGAGGGTGTCTCGAGGCAGACCACGAAATCTCCAACACGGCCCTAGTGCAAGCGGGATGCAGGCAGGGGCTTGGCATCCCCCTGTCCTGTGCTGCCGTCCTCGCTGCCATGGCTGCAGCCCAGATCCAGGCCTCCTCCTCCTCCAGGCGAGGGAGTTCAGAGAGCCTGGGAAAGAGGGAAGGAGCAGCACAGCCCACTTGGCTCTTCCCAGCTCTTCCCTCCCTCCTTCCCCTGCCCAATCTACTTTTAATGATTCAATTGCTGGTGTCCAGCAGATTAGAAGAGGGGGCTCAGGGAAGGGGAGATGGCGGTGGGGGGAGCGAGAGGAGCTGTGCACAACCCTTTTTGGCAGCGGGAGATCCTGTTTCGTTCCTCCTGCGCTGAGGAGCTGGAAGGAAGATTGTGTGGCCAGCACGCCCCCCCACCC